CCACATGGTGCGGCAGACCTCTCCTGCCTCGCCTGCTGCTCCCCTTAGCAGTGTCTTCTGTCCATCTGCCTGTTCTGCTCTTCGCTCTGTCTCTGGTGAATTCTCTCACCCTCCCGCGCCTCTGACCTTGTATAAATAAATAAATCTTAAAAATAATGAAAAAAAAATGAAAAAAATTCTTTTTCCTAACCAATAAGGAAAAACTAATTAATGTTCATTGAACACCTACTATGTGCCAATCACTCTGTTAAGTGTTTTACACACAGCATTTGATTTAAGTGGAGATAAATTACAGTCATCACAAACTTGCAATTTCTTTGGTTTTAGGCAGTTGAATTTCACCTCTCCCTGAATATATTCACAGTAGCACACCAAACAAAACATCTCATTGGTACGTCAGTACATGACCTTCATGACATCAGTTTTCTGCTGAATCTACATTTTAATATACTAGCTACTTGGTAAGAATTGTTGAATTGAACATATAGTGTCCAAGATCTTTGCATCTACTCATCTCTATGTGCAATCATGAAAAGAATCTTATAAAAAAATCTAAGCTAATACTTAAAAATATGCAACATGTATACAGGTATTTTGGAATGATTACTGACATTTACATCTGTCTTTATCCAATATTTGGATGTCTTGATAAGAAAACAAGAACTAAACCAATGTTTGAGTTATTTAAAGGATCGGGTAACAGGTTAACTTATTTTAAAGGCTATTTTGGCTTCATAAAACTCTAACCGCAGAAGTGAAAATTAAATGTCAACAAAGGCCCTGCCTTGCAAAAGCATGCACGATCAACTCAAGTTTCCCTCCTGCAAAGTCAGTCACACTTGCCGATTATACATGATGGGCTCAGGTCACATCACATCACATATATGAAAGAAAATCAAGCCTGTAGTCATTCAACCAAACTGGGTTTATTGAAAAATCTATTGCAGCCATACCTGCAGAGTTTGACTTGGGGAATACAAGAGATCAATAAGATGGGTCCCTCTCTTCTTGGAGAGATAAGACTAACATAGTTAAAATAAATATAGAAGTATGCAAAGGTAGGATCAATTCAATTTAATAAATTTTTTCCTGTGTATAAGCAAATCTGATTGAAAATCATTAGAAATTCAGTTCAATAAAAACTTTTTGAGCACTATATACAGGGCTTACAAAGGCTTATTCTGTTTTCTTTGAATGGCTGGGTCTATAAAATGCCTGCCAGTGGGCAGGTAAACAGTGCATTGTGAAAGGATGAATGAATGAATTTACTGTATAAAAAGGTTAAGAAGAAAGTAAAGTCATAAGGCAAATATCAAAAAATTGTAATATTCAGTGGAAAATGATCACTATGAACTGTTATGAAAGTTTAGATGTGGAGGAGATACTTAGCTGAAAATCTGGGAATTCAGGTTCAGGGGCAGATAATACGATTTGAGTGAATTGTAAGACTGAAAGAGGGTGAGAATGGGGAGTCACAATGGGATTTGGAAAAAAACACAACTGAATTGAACTATTTGATGTGCAGAATCAGCTGGAAAGTTGTGTCAAGTAGATTGGAGTGGGAAAATTGTTAAGGAAGGTCTGTTTATTATTGCATAAATCATAGGTAATAGGAGGTAGAACTAGGGTGGACAGTAGATGGGAAAAGAAGTAAATTCACGAAAGCAAACTCCTTAGGTTTTTGTCTACTGAATCTATATCGAATATTTGTATAGGGAAGATGGAGGATAAATCTAAACTTTAGACTAAAAGAGTGTTTGCTTTAAAAGTAATACATGGCAGGGGCCTCCCCTGGTGGCGCAGGTGGTTGAGTGCAGTGCTGTAAAGCTGTCTGCAGCCTCTGCAGTGCCGGTTTGATCCCAGCTGGTTGCGGAGCAACCCACATGGCGAAGCAAACCTCTCCTGTCTTGCCCGCTGCTCCCCTCAGCAGTGTATTTCATCAGTCTGCCTGTTCTGCTCCCTGCTCTGTCTCTGGTGAATCCTTTTCACCCTCCCGCACATCTGGCCTGTACCCCGGTTCTTGTATAAATAAATAAATAAATCTTAAAAAAAAGAGTAATAGATGGCATTAGGAAGGAGTAGAGGAGAGGTCTTTACATTTTCTGTTCAAGATTAGAAGTTTATAGCAATTGAGAGAAAAGGGACTTCAATCTAGGTTGGAAAAGCCAGGGATGGTGAGGATTTGAGGCATAAGTTGAACTGAATAGAAAGAAAATAAGAATATTCTTGTTCAGAACATGAACAATAAGGAAGTTAATCAGGCTCTGTTTATATATCTATTATTAACAGCAATTATTTAATCTAAGACCATTTGAGTTTATTAAAGCAATTATTTAGATGTTTGGTCTACACAATGCCAAACACTAGAATATTTTGTAATAACCTAATAAATTACAAGGGTTTTCTTGTTTGTTTTGTTTTGTCTTTAAAACAGGAGTTTGAGATCATGTAGAAACAGCTTCAGCTTTGGTTTGTTTTTCATATTAAGGTTTTCAATCTCTCTTAGTAGAGCCATTCAGGCAAGAGAGAATATTAAATGCCATCAATTTGGCTAGGATCTCATGTGGAGACCATAAATTACATAAAAATATGTATTTTGGAAAGTGTTATTTTCTAGGTGAAATTTTTATTAACGTCTATCAGGAAAATTCAGATTTCTGCAAAACAAAAATCACTTTGCTCATTTTGGAAATGACTAACAAAAATTTTAGATTATTTCTTATGAGGAAGGAAATCTTTATAAAGTGAGAAATACATGAAAGAATACTAACATGAGAAAGCAGAGAATCCTCTGTGTTTCATTCTGACATTGATAAGGGCTCAGTTCTGGGGAAAAAATCAAAGCTGTTTTGTATTGACAAGACTTACTTTGGCAACATATCATAATTGGGATTAGTGGTAACATGCTATGGCCAGTTTTATATGTTGTATGTTATTTAATGTTATAATTCAAATTTTACTGATTTGGTCACAGATCACTTTGCGGATCTGATGAAAGCTTTATGCATTGTTCTCAGGAAAGGGTATAACTTCAAATAAAAAAGAATATTGCTTAAATGAACTCCAAGTTAATATCCCTACTGTAAGAATGCGTTCCCGCTGACTTGGTGGAAGGTATGCTACTGTGACTACACCTGAGGGAGAAAATCCTGTACCTCCAAAACACTAACAAGAATGTAAACCAATGGCGCTTCAAAAAAGAAAAATTTAAAAATAATTCATTCCACTCCTTAAAGTAACAACTCACACAAAGCTTTGATTTGCATTGTGCAATGAATGTAAATATTGCTTGTGAGGACATATCACTCAGTGTTATTTGGTCCTTGGTTAAGGTTGGCACGATGATAATAATTCTTCAAATCCTACATATTCTTTAAAGAAATTTGAATTGTTTATAAATGCCATGTGTGGGCCTGGGATATAAGGTGAATCTCTTTATCTAGTGATCCATAAACAAAACAGGCCCTAATTTGGTTCCCCCTGGTTCCACATGCAGCAGGCATTGTGCCAGGCCTGGAGTGATGCATGAAAAGCAGGGTGTAGCAGGCAATGGCAGGTTCTAAGATTTAAGAAGTTGTGCTGTGCCCATTACTATATTGTGATTATTTAAGAATACATAAAGTATTATTTCCCCTTTAACTAATTGGTATGTTTTCCCAAAAGGCTATTGAGTTATTAGGATAGATATATTGTTTGGGGCACCTACTTATTTAATAAACTGAGCTATTAGATATTTCCTCTGATCTGTGGGCACCATGAAAAAATTGTTGACACATCTTGTCACTGTGAACCAAAAATGTTTGGGAATGCCTGTTTTAGAAGGGAACTAATTGGAATTAGACCTAATCCCTGCCTTCTAGTTGCTCAGAAACAAATCTATCTACTGCTAACCATAGAAAAAAGGAAATCAGGGTATCTGTCATAAAAGGAATATAGACAAAATTCAAAGAGCTAGGAAATCTCAGATGTCATTCTGTTGGAGGCAGAAAAGAGAATTGAGATGCTTTATGAGTTTAGTCTTGAAAAGAAGTAAGATTTCAATTGGTGGGAAGGAGAAGAAGAACATTGATTTAGGGGGGAACAGTGCAGAGGTAGAAAATAAATTTGTTTGACTGAAAAGAGGAGAGGCAAGGAGTAGCAAGACATGATCGTGTTGAAAGAGCTGTGCGTTTTTACCATGGAAGCTTCTGGGTAAGGGAGTAGTGTGATCAAACTTGTGCCTTAGAAAGCTCAGCCTGTTTCGCCCACTACTCCCCTCAGCAGTATATTTCAGTCAATCCGCCTATTCTGTTCCTCACTCTGTCTGGTGAATCCTCTCACCCCCCAACACATCTGTCCTGTACTCCAGTTCTTGTATGCATAAATAAATAATCTTTAAAAAAATATAAAGAAAGAAAGCTCAGCATTACAGTGATGGGAAGGACAGGTTAGAGACTGGGGCTTAAGGAGAGAGGCATGGGAGGTACTGTAGTTTCTGGGGTGGACAGTGTCTCTTGTTTGCACAAATTATGCTTTAATAATCTGTGTTTTGATCTACCTAGCGCAAGTCTGTAATTTAAGGCACTGAATAAATTTTGAATTTGAGGTACCTGGGGAGACAGAGAAATAGCTCCTGTTAACTATGGAGAAATATCCTACAGTGCTGGAGAGAGGTCAAATTTGTGGTGTCAATTTGGTAGTCATTCACCTAGAAATGAGAGAAGGAACTGACAAAATAAAATTTCACAGGGAGTAAATACAGATTAAAAAGAGAAGAAGCCAGTGACAGATCCCTGGGGAACACCTACCTCTGGGAGCAGAGGATGAGCTGCCTGTGGAAGACAGGAGGATGGAAGGGCATTGATGGGGTGAGAACCAGAGGGAGCGCCCAGGAAGCAAGCAGGAAAGCTTCTCAGGCTGGAGATGATGGTCTATATCGGCATGCCTCATTTTATTGCACTTTGCTATATTGGGCTTTGAAGACACTGAATTTTTTTTTTTTTTTTTTTTACAAATTGAAGATTTGTGGCAACCCTGCATTGAGCAAGTCTGTTGACTCTATTTTTCCAATAGCCTGTGTCACATTTGATTAAGGTATGTATGTTGTATTTTAGACATAATGCTACTGGACATTTAATAGACTATAGTGTAAACATAACTTTTATGTGCACTGAGAAACAAAAAAATGAGTGTGATTTACTTTATTGAGGTGTTCTGGAACTGAACCCACAATATCTTGGAAGTATGCATGCTAATATCAAATCGAGGAGGGAAAATCCTACTAGGAAGCTACTGGATGGGGTAATTTGCAGATCCTTGGCGACCGTGGGAAGGACAATTCAGTAAGATTTAGAGATAGAAGTCAAATGACAGTGCGGATGACCAGGGAGCCCCTTCTAGAGAAATTGGTAGTGAAATGAATCTGGAATGGGAGCTTAGTGAAAAGAAGTTTGAGAAAAGTTGGTTATAGGACAGGAGTAACCTGAGGGTGAATACAGGGGAGAGGAATAGAGAACATTCAAGTCTGCGATGAGAGAGAGGGGCTGAAACCACAGTATGTTTCTTTTCTCTTCTCTCCCTTTTTTCTTCCCTTTACTCACTCTTTCCTTTCTTCACCCCACATCCAGAGCCCTGGCAAAGTGAAGAGGGTGACCTTATGCCCATGGGTGAGGGCGACCTGAGCGAGGGAGGAGGAGCTGAGAGAGGAGCACTGGCACTGGGAGTTAACCCAGCAGGGTGCAGAAGGATCCCATCCAACTGGAACTTGGGTGAGGTGTGAGGAGGGCTTGGCAAGGTGGGACAGTGATGGCGTGGGAGAGTTCTTACAGGAGAATTTTCAAAAAACGGAGGAGGGCCTACATTGAGTCCTGCTGGAGAAGGCAGTTAGAAATATATGAAAAAGGAGAAAATTAGAAGGAATCCTGTGGATTGGAATTAAATATATCATTGTGAGCTTTCAATAGATAAGTATACACTTCAACATACATGTTTATATATAAACAAATCGAAGTTGTGTATTTTATATATACATATATACACATATATATTTAATATAACGACACACATTTCTCTAGCTCTGTCTACTGAGGGGGCTGAAAAGAACCAGGAACAGCAATATTTTGATAGCAATGAACACATCTAGCACAAACTTGACTTTAAATAGAATTCCGTAACCAAAAAAGCATGAAAATTAAACTTAAAGAAAACAATGTGCCAGAATCAGATGATATGATGAATTTTCAGTAACACATGACTTTAAAATCCACATGTGAAATAATTTCTAAGCATAATTCCAAGTTAATTTTGGAAATTTCCCCTGATTCTACATTATCTCTGGAATCTATTTTTGCATCATTGAATTACATGCTTTTCTTGAACATGCTCCTAGTTTGAATATACAAGAACAGTTAAAGTCTTCTCTAAGGCCTTCGACTATGCAGCAAATTAAATGTGTAAGTGTCTAACTTCAGATCTAATCAGCCCAACACCTCATCCCATAATGTATCAGTGATTGCTGATCTACACTTGAGCACCATTGACTGGGAAGTTTCTTCTTTTAGTAATTCTCCAGTTATTGCAAGGAACACTTTGTCTCATGGCTTAAAATCAGAACAGGAAACATCCATCCTTGATAACTTAAAAATTGTACAATTTTAAATAGATCAATTCTATGTGGTTGAGTTATAGCAAAATGAAACTGTTATTTTAAACAAGCAAGCAAACAAACAGCAACATTCCTTACTAAAAGAAACCAGGAAAAATGAGTGATTCCAGGACTGGGGGGCAGAAAAGTACAAGATGAAACCAGCATTTCTGCCACAGAAAGCAAGGAAGTGCTCATGGAAGACATGTCAAAAGGATACAGAAAGCCACCTAAAGTGGCTTTTACTGCCAATGTGATGACAGGTTGAGATCAACATGATATTAATAAAAGATTTAATCATTAATAAAATAGGAAATCAGGAGTCCATGCAATTAAATGATAGTTTCATTAGTTGGTAGAGTTTGGTGAGGATATTTATGTAGTATCTCCCAGGAAATGCTTATTAACTGCAAAGTGGAAGAAATGCCTTTATAGAGAAAAACCTGGCAGACACCACTTTAATCAAGCCACCCAAGTGAACAATATCATCAGTAACAGGTCAAATTGAAATCATGTGCCACCTGATAGGTGACAAGAACACAGCATCACCTCCGTGATATTCCTGCTAGGGATGCTTAACTTCAATCTAATCATCAGGTTACATCAGACAAACTCAAATTGAGAGACATTCTGCAAAATAACTTGCTTGTAATCTTCAAACATGTCAAAATCTTCAAACATGTCATGAGAGCTAAGGGAAGACTAAGGAACTGTTCCAGGCTAAAAGAAACTAAAGAGACAGGATAACTAAATAGAAGGAGTGTATCTGTGGATCCACTCTGAGTGGATCTGTTTGCTATAAAGGACATTATTGGGATTTGTATAAACTTGAATGGGATTGAGGATTAGATGGTATAGATGGTATAATGAATCAATAAAGATTTCCTGGTTTTGATTGTTTTACCCTATTTTTATAGGAGAATGTCTTATTTATAGAAATACAAATCAAAGTTGAGAGGAGGGTGATGTAAAGAAACTAAATTTGGAAACTTACACTCAAATGGTCCAGGAAAAAAATGAAGTTCTTAATCCTGTACTTTTTTATATATGTTTGAGATTGTTTCCCAAAAAATAATTTAGAAGAAATTTGGTGCTTTTGCACTTCTACCATTGTCACAAAGAGCATCTCCCTTGGTGGCTGCGACTCTGTTGATCTGGAACTTTGAGCTCACATGGAGCAGACATGAGCCCAACCTGCCACCAAAATCTGAACCCTAGTAACCTGCAGCTAGAAGCAGAGCTGTTCAGCAAGCCCAGCCAAAGCGATGGATCTCCAGGTGACCCACAGATGCAACTTGAAACTTCATTGGAGTGTGAAACAAGACTGAAAACAGTTGGAGCAACTTTCAGTCAAGGTGGAACATTACACTACAGAACTGGGTCGCTAATGGGCCAGCAGATGCTTCTATGATCAGTAGCCCCTGACTCTAATCCTGTCACCATGAAGCCAGCAATTTCAGAAAACTGCTGCATCCAGGACTCTGCTTCTGCAGCTGCTGAAGCTCCTGCACCTAGAACTGTGCTGCTCCAACTATGATTTGCACTGGCAGGAAGGAGGCCTCAGGCCTAACTTCCCAATACTGACTGGTCAGGTCTGGACATTAGAATCTCTATCACTGCCACAGAAAACAGACCTCTCTGTAGCCCTGCTGGACAGAAGAAATAGCAGAAATAGTGGAAAAAGCAAAAGCACACACATCTTAATTCTACCTGCCAGATCTTATGTGAGCATACCTAATTTGTCAGACCTAAATCATTGTCCCCAAGAGAAAGGAAATTTTAAACTTTCAAACCACTGTATTAGAGGAAGGCATGCTAGAATGAGGGTGGCACATGCTGAGTGTCAAGCCACCATATTCGTCAAAGGGGGAGGGAGGGAGGGAGGGAGGCAAGGAGGGAAGGAAGGAAGGAAAGAAAGTAGGAGGGAAGGAGGACTTATTGTAGTTTAGACAATGGAAAACTATTGAATAATACTAAATCTGAAATCAACCTGATAAATCTCAGTAAGTTTTTTTCATACAAAAAAAGGAGTCATAAAATAATATATAGAGTTTAATATCATCCAAATGAGGCTATATATTTTTTAAGGAAACACAAATATTCAGTAATATTCTTAATGCATGCGTTGGAATGACAGTGTTTACCTTCAGGGAGAGAGAAATATAGAGAATGAGTTTGAGGGTAGTGTCCACAGAGGGTTTCAGTTATCTATGTTGCTTAACAGACCATCCCTAACTTAGTGCTTTAAAGCCACAGCTATGCATTTGCTCTTCATTCTCTGGGTTGTCAATTGAGCAGGGCTCAGTTGGGATGGCTCATCTCTGCTCCACATGGTTTTCCAGCTGGTCTGGATCTCTCTTTGGTCCCAGAGATCACTACTGGTAGATCAGCTTTGATACCTGAACCTCTTTCTTCCCCATGAACTTTCCATCCATAAGAAGACAAGCCTGGGCTCACACACAAAGTGGCAGCATTCCAAGAAGGTGAGAGTGGAAGCTGTAAGCCTTCTTTCTTAAGGTAAAAGTTTAGAAGTCTATAAATCACCTCCACCAAATCCTGTAAGTCATGGGGCCAGCCTAAACTCAAGGATGGAGAAAGAGATTCCTGAAGGGAGGAGTAAAAAATTTGCATCTACACTTACGTGTTTTGTAGGAGTATCCCATTGGGTATAGAGTATCTTATTTATGCAAGTCTAGCAACATTTGTGTGATTTGATAATACAGCTTATTATAGTTCTTTATTACATTATTTTCTATACTGCCTTTATGTTTGAAATATTTCACAATATTTCACAATATTCTTGAATGCCCTGTAGCTCTTTAGGTTCTTATACCTTCAGAACCTGATTGCTCAGCTGTCTTTTCAGTTCTATAATATAATCCATAGACTTTCCTCAAAATACATGTTATGATAAAAAGCAAACTATATTTGGAGAATTTTTTGTGTAACAAGAGTTCATGGCTGAGTGGGAGTTGCATCTTCTGCAGTTGCACTTTGAGCATCTATTTATTGCTGTTCATTTTCCAGAGGTTGAGGGTACTGTTGAGCTAAACTCTGTCCATAATTAAGATTCAGAACTATACAGATAGAGGGTGAGCTGGGGTAGTCCTGGTGAGATGTAGATTAGAGTGGAGAGAGACCTGGGGCAGCAGTTGGCTTAACAACAGGACCTCATGAGATGAGGTTGTGGTTCTTGGCCCTGTGTAGCAGCTAGTACCAAAGATAATCTCAGACCAGTTGATATATCAGGAAGAGAAGAGTCCTTGGGGATTGAAAGGGACACTTTATTAAGGACGCTAATATTTGAAAACCCAATCTTTCACACTTTAGGATTCCCTAAAGTTTTGGGATGGTGGGAGTGCTTTTGTTCTTGTTGTATAAGAAATTTAATGAGGGCCTCCTCGGTGGCGCAGCAGTTGAGCGCTGGGTTGCGAAGCTGCCCACAGCCTCTGCAGTGCCCGTTCAATCTCCAGCTGCTCCCCGGCCACTTGAGGAGGGTCCCACATGGCGCACAGACCTCTCCTGCCACCCGCTGCTCCCCTCAGCAGTGTACTTCGGTCCTTCTGCCTGCTCTGCTCCCCGCTCTGGCTCTGGTGAATTCTCTCACCCTCCCGTGCTTCTGACTGTACCCAGTGCTTGCATAAATAAATAAATAAATAAATAAATCTTTAAAAAAAAAAAAAAAGAATAGTACTGGAAAAATGATATTTAAAAAAAAAGAAATTTAATGAAATGTCAAAGCATGGTGATGCTTGATGTCATCAAGACATCTTGTAATTGTTATTAGAGGTGATGCCCATGTGGATAGAGCCCAGAGTGTGAGCAGCTTCATGTGGAATATGAACCTGGGGTAAACAGTCTAGACTTGGGAGTTGATCATCTATCAGACTGATTTGTGTATACACATCAGCATAGCATTGAGAATCCCAGAAAGATTTTAGGAGGATTTTATAAAGTGCATTTTCCTCTAGTCAAGAAAATGGGGGTTTGGGTCCATCAAATTTGAATTTTTATTCTTTCTGGGCCCTAAGAGACCCTGACTCTCGATGGATGTAGACAATGAATTTGTATTTTTCTCAACATTAATGCAGCTAACACTTAGCAAGTCTTTAATTACAAGATGTT